AGGCCCTCCTAGCCATGGCTTCCAACATACTTCCCCCCTCTTTGAGAGATAAAAGTCCCATTAATTTTGATCGGGTTGTGTCTCTTTGTACTTGCAGTCCAGCATAGCCATAATGGCTGTTATCTCCACAGCAGTGAGTGGTGGTATTGCAGCACAATGGGAAAAGAAAATTTAATGGGCAGGAGGGCACACATAATATAGGCCATTCAAGCAATACAAACCACCACAGAATATTAACATAGAACAGACAGGTCTAAGTAGCTATGAAGAGAGGAATTGCCATGTTTTTGAGAAGGAAGCATCAGGCTGCAAGGGCATAAAAGTTGGCAGAATGTGGTAGAAAAGTCTGAACGTAAGAGGGACTTTTGTTGGTCTACAAAAGTATAACAGCTAGTGTTAATAAAAGCACAAATACTCCTTGACTAGTTAATAAAAAATCCAGAACCATACAATTTTGGAGAACTACTTATGAAATTGAAGTAACTATTTGTAGCCTACCAATTGCATCCGCTTTAGTATTAGCATAAATCTCAAGAGACATCAGATATATTAAGTGAATTTCATGTCAGTAATCCCTTGGTGAGGGCATAAACCATCTAAGTAAGGAGTATAAAGGAGATTGCCATTTCACTAAAGGATTAAGTATTGAACAGGAAAGGGTGGTGAAGGTCAACCCAAAAGATGGGAAGAGTCCATATACTGACAGGCCCCTAGACTGCATGTTCCATACCATGTACAAGATAAAATTTTGTATGCTGTCTATTCAAAATTGCAGAGACTGTGGGATTGTTCTGGAATTTAGGTCAATAGAGACCTTATACAGGTAGTCCTCAACTTATGGCCATGATTGAGGCCAAAATTTCTGTTGCTAAGCAAGACAGTTGTTAAGTTAATTTGGGCTCCATTTAATGATCTTTCTTGCCACAGTTAATTGAGTCACTGCAGTTATTAAGATAGTAACATAGTTGTTAAGTGAATTTGCCTTCCACATTGACTTTGCTTGTCAAATTGTCACAAAAGGTGATCACATGGACTTCCGGTTTGCCAGGCTTCGGCGGTGTCGGGGATTCGCGATCCTGCGTGATCCCTGTTGCGCTAGCCGTCTTGGTGCCTCCGATCCTGACGGGTCTGGAGGATAAGGTTGCCCCATAGAGGCAGCCGAAGATAGGGAGGATCCGGAGAGGGGTTTGGGGGTATCGCAGACCCCCTCCCCACCCGGCATAACCTCCTTTTCTCAAGGCGGTGGAGCGGCGGTCAGCAATGGCCGCCACAAAGAAGCCGGCAGCTGGATAAGATTGTGCTGGAGGAAGAAGGAGAAAGAAGAAACAGGAGAAGTGAAAGTGCTGGCTGAGCCGGGAGAATAACAACTTTTAAATACCCTGGAAACTGAATTGCTTGAATTGCCTGAAAGATACATTGTATCCCTAAGAAGATTGGAAAGCGGCGGAGAAAACTGTCAAGGGAAAGTTGTTGTTTTTCTTCACTCTCCCACCCCATATAAAGCCAAGGGATAAAGGATTCCTGGACATTGGATTTAACAACTTAAGAAATCAGAAAACCTGTATTGGAGGTATGGATTTCTGAACAATTAAAGGAAAATTGTTGTTGTAAGTGGGAAGGGAGAGGAAAAATAAATAAATTGGAGCAGAATTTGAAAAAGGAGGAGATTGCCTAGAACTTTAAAGAAAGATATATTTTAATTGGAACTGTTTGATTAAACAGTAACCCCAGAAAGAGAAATACAAGAAAGAAAGAAAAAGTATTAAAAGAAATAGTTTATTTGGATTCTTTGGTGACTTTGGAACTTTTTGGAATAATTGTTGATTAAAAATACTTGGGTGGTTGTTTTGGAAAAAGTTTTTCTCCTCACGATGGCATTGCTTGTGGATGAACTAAAAATTGAATATCAAAAATATAAAAAAGAAGAACAAGATGGAAAAGATACTTTGGGCACTCTTTTTCAATTTCTAGAAATGGCGGTATGCACTTATGAAAAATTGACTACGCAGCAGGATGACTGGGACAAAGAAGAAGAAGAAGCCATCTTTGATGAACAATGGGTTCCTTTTGGGGAGGAGGAGAAAGAGGAAAAGAAAAAGGGGATTTTAAGGTTTGAAAAAACAATCAAAAAAGAGAAAAATGAGATGAAAGGTGGATTCAAGGTTAGAAAACAACAGAAAGAGGGTAAGCAGAAGAAGAAAAGGGAGGAGGAGAGACAAAGGGGTAAAAAGGGCAAGGAGAAAAATAAGCAAGAGAGAAAGGAGGGGATGAGAAGCCTTAATGGTGGGAAGCAAGATTTAAAGAAACAAAACTTATTTAGAGACAATGGGTAAATCTAATTGAAAAAGGGATTCTGGAAGGTACATAAGATTGTGTTTTTATATGTGTATTTAGAGTAAAATGTTTAAGATATAAATGAGTATCAATATATATGATTAGCTTTTTAATGGTATTGATAGTGGTTTTATATGCTTTTATTTTGTTTTTTGTTTTTCTCATAAAATTTATTGTGTAATTTTAGAATGTACTAAACAGAATCCCAATATAAATTAAATGTTATATTAAGTATTATTAAGTTAGGGGAAAGAGTCAAAGGCGTCACTCCAATCAGTGTACAGGAGAAGTATATTTAAAGAGAAAAGATGAATGGATAGCTGGAAATAGAACAGACAAAGAATGATAAGTATTATGAATTGAATTGAGATAAGATAAATAAAATAAAAATAAGAAAGATAAAAGAGGGAAGAAGCTATATAGAAAATTGAAAATGGTAATAAGATATGGAATGATATATAAAGTAAATATGATTTTTGAATTTGTGTCTGTGCGAAGAGTTTTAACCCGGGATCAAGCAGCTTTCAGAAAAGATTTTATGTTTTTTATGTTTGTGTATTGTTTTTGAAAGGCAATAAAATTCTAATTAGCAAGAAATATAATTTGGATAATAGAATGAAAAGGAGAAGTTGGGATAAGATATGAAGTTGAACAGATAACGTAAATATATATATTACAATTTGGAACTATTTTGTATGTTCTATTGGTTTTCTTAGAAAAGATCTTTTATGTTATTATGCCTTGATTGTTTGTGTATTGTTTCGTAAAACTAATAAAATTTGTCTTTTAAAAAAAAGGTGATCTCATGACCCTTGGACACAGCAAAAGTCATAAATATGAGTCAGTTGGCAAGCATCTTAATTTCGATCACATGACCCTGGGGATGCTGCAATGGTTATAAGCATGAAAAACGGTCATAAATCATTTTCAGTGCAGTTGTAATTTTGAATGGTCACTAAACAAATAATTGTAAGTTGAGGATTACCTGTAATTCAATACACAATCAGTTGTGTTATCATCACAAGTTGCATTGATTTGAGGGGGGTTTCTAGAAGCACAATTACTTGGTAAAGGAATTCAGTAAAAGTCCATATATTTATTTGTTCATATTTATAGCAGTAATAGATGTCTTGAATAAGTGAAAGAAGATATCACTATTGTACCCCAGAAAAATGCCAAATAAGGAAACACCTCCCATTGGGCAGGTGGGCGAATGGGTGCACATCCAGCAATCTTCCAAGTATAAACAGATAGCTATGTCAGAAGACAGATTCATAATAAAATTGTCCTGCCAGCTACGCCGATGGTCATACTGAATAGATCTCCCATTTTATTTTCTCTGGAGATAAACACGATGCTGTTGGCCTTGTGCTAATAACCAGTAAAGTAAAGGGATTTGTAGGTCATTGAGTCTTATTAACAAGATTTTCCCTAATGTGGTAGAAAGTGAAATGCATTGCCCTCCAGTAAGTACCAAACAACCCATTTATATTTCATCGGAATTGCATATGAGTCTCAACTCAAAAAACTGAATTCATGTTCTAGCATCTGAATCTTTAAGAGCCTAGCAATGACATTAATATAAGGTATAGTGGTATTTCCCCCTTCCCTCCCCCTTCTAAGTCTTTGCAAGAATTAATCAAACAGTGTTCTGTAATGTGTAACAATAAATAATATTTATTGCAGTTGCTTGGCAGCTATTTAATGGTGAAATAACCATTACTTTCAACAACGTTTTGAATTTTAGTAAATTACAGAATTTTAGTTATTTACAAAAAAAATCAAGGTATTTGGTTTGATTATTTCATGATACAGATCTGCTGTTTTTCATTTTAATACTACTCTATAGAAAATATAGCAATCTCAAACTTCTAATATAAATGCTATTTACAAAAACAAATATATTTCAGAAAGAAGCCTGCGCAATATCACAAAACACAATTCTTCTGGAGAGTGAATGCCTTTTGAGTCATTACCATGTTGCTGCATACTGAATAATACATGACCATTTACTATAAATATACAAATATTTTGAAGCATACACCTTATGCATTTATAGTAATTATTATTGTGAAATTAACAAATATCAGGAAAAAAGTCCCTTAATCACACAGGACTATATTTTTTTAAATCTTAGAAGATGGCCTAATTATTAAATGTTTTAAATAAGATCTTTCTCCTGCTTGTCCAAAAGTAACTTGTGAAAAAGCTGTTTTGCACTTTGTAATTCCTCTCTAGAAAGTATTAAATAGCACTGCAGTTAATATAGCTTCAACCCCATATGTTATGAGTGTGATATTGATACTAACCAAATATATCTTAAAAGAATATCTATGTGATTAGGTAGAATAATTACTTGAAAATATTTCAGCATTGTTTCCTCAGATGTGTGGATAATTGAAATTTCAGGTGAAAAACCTCTATTTCATAAACATTCCATGCTTTTTTTCTACGTTCTTCCACATTCATTTAAATTAAATGTTTAACATATAGTATATCTGCAATTTCATACCAGAGTAATATTATCTAGGAAGAATCAAAATACAAAGCCAAAATAAAAAATATATGGAAATGCAATTAGTATATCTAATAATAATCCATCTAGTTATCCATCCAAGGCTCTCAGGCAAGTAGTTCAAATTCCTCAAATAATTTTTTCTCTCCAGTTAATTGCAAATTTTTACAAAATTGCCATATCTATAAAACAGAAAGAAAGAATCCCTTAAATTTATAATATGATTATGATTAGGGAATAACCACATTTTCAATTTTATGTTTATTATTCAGAGTACAGTGAAAATAATCTATTAATACTATTTACACTTTGGGCTATTAATAATGTATTAATACCATTTAGGTTAGGGCTGTGAAAATCACCTAAGATGATTACTTCAAGAAACAATGTGGCAAGCAAAGCACTCCTCTTTTTAGTATCGAAGCAGAAACATCCTTCAAAAGATTCAGTCCAAATTCCCCTTAGGGGTATTTTCTGGTTCATTATTTGATAATTTATTTCCCAAATAGCATTCCCTTTCCTCCTTTATCCTTTATTTATGATTGGGGTGAGAGACAGTGACTGTCACAAATTCACCCAGTGAGCTTCCATGACTCGAAATCCTGAGTCTTCCCAGAATCACTTCAATGTTTTAATTATTACAGCCACTGGTTTTCATATTCTCCGTTCATGCAAGTTCACACACAAACAACATTTGCGCTGGGACCTCCAGCAAAGAAAGCAGTTGTCTATGAATGTATAATATGGTGTTCCTATAAAGCAGACATTTTACTACCGAGCTATTGTTCTATCTTTCAACTTGAAAATTTTCAGAGGAGTCTCAAGACTGAATGTGACAGAAAGGACTGTGAGGAAAGACCTTCACAATGAGCTGGGACATAGGAATATGCCTCATCAGAGTTTGGAATTCATTTTACTTTCACGCTACTGAACTGATCAGCCACATTTGGGAACTTCATATTTGTTCCTCAAAACTGGAGATTTTAGGGTTTTATTTATTCATTCATTCATTCATTTGAAAGGAAGGCTGACAGGTCTCAAACTGGAGATTCTATGGCTTTATTTATTTATTTATTATTTGAAAGGAAGGCTGAAAGGTCTATGAGTTCTGGTTGACTGAACACATACTAAACTAGATAGGGCTGACAAATTTATCTCTCTTCATTTGCAATAGGCAAAGCTGGGTTCCAAATAATATATTTCCATTTGTGATTAAAATCCTCAAGGACATAAATGAATGTAAATCCTCAATTCCTAAAAGCAGGGTCTGCTATCAAGCATGGAGGGAAAGAAGAAAAAAAAAAGTGATATATAATCTAGATGAGAGAGCTGTTCTGGATTCATCAAAATATAGATAAGGAAGTGCTACATATTTTAGGCACTAGCGTGGAGGCAAAATAAAAGGATAAGTAGATCAAGCAAATTTTTCTCTGGCTTCCTTCAGCTTGTAATATTACTCTAGCTAAGCAAATTTAGCTTCATTATACTGTAGCTTTCAGTGGATCTAGAAAAAGTGGCTGTTTTCTGGATGTATAATTCTCTCTTAGCACAGAAAGAAAAATGTTCAGCTGGGTTTGACATTTTGAATTCATATGTAAAAGTTACCTCCAGCTCTTAATACGTTGTATTGCTATGAAAATCAGCTTTGATCTTGTCTCTCACTTCATTTTCCTTTAAAAAAAAATTAGCAACATTGGAGTGCAGAGGATTAAAATATATTTCTTTTTATCCATCTTCATGTGATAGCAAAACTGGATTATCCCGGGGAGTTAGTATAACACAAAGACACACTATAATCTAAAACAGATTTATCTTTAGACAAATCTACTACAATTCATAATTTATCTCTAAAGATGGCAGAATAACTTTTGAATATTGAACATTGCTATTTTTTAAAAGAAATGCTCATATTAGAAACTCCTCTTTCTGTTCTTAATTGTTGCGGAATGGGGGTTATTTTTTACACAAAAATACAATTCAATTACAATGTCATAAGCACGTTTTTTTTAAAAAAAATGTGTTGCCAATCTCTTTCCAATGGAAAAGATTTTTAAAAGGAAATTAATAATTTAATTTTCCAATTGCTAAAATTGTGAATTAATTTGTTGGGACTCTGAAAATTAGAAGCAGGTCTTTTTTATGTAGATATTTATTTTAGCTGAATAGTGATCACACGATTCTCAGTTTACTTCATTAACTAGTCTAGAGATGACTGTTATTGCTTTTAATGAAAAACTGATAACCTTGGCATTAGAACTCACCTACAGGCACAGCTTACTTATCAAGTGGCCTTGTATTAATCCAGGTGAACTAGTCTGTTTTTCAGAATCTAAACCAAATGTTGTAAAACAGCCCACATTTCTTACGGGTGGCTTCATAAATCAACAAGTGAGCAGCAGTGGTTCAGGACAATCACAACCTACTCTGAACAACCAAAGCTTGCTTTCTCCAGAGCCCTTTTTACCTTTTTCCATGTTTCTGCTGGGCAGCTACCACACCCAGCTTCCCTCCACAGTTGGAACAATGTGGGTAAGGTTTCCCACCATGCTTTGGAATACTCCAGCAGTGAAAACATCTTATTCTGTACTTTTTGTACCTGGGGAGGGGGAGAGGAAGAATAAATTTAATAATAAAGTTTAAACTTTATTAATAAGATTAATGTTTAATAAAATGGCATTGGTCATTCCTGTCTCTGAACTGGATTTTATAAATTGTACCAAGCATCTTCCCATGTTGCTGTATCTCCCATTTGCATGAAATAAAATGGAGATATTTTGTCTTGGGGTGTGTGTGTGTGTGTGTGCATGAAATATTTGTGGGATATAAGGAAAATATTTCCTATGAAGAATAGGGCCAATAGCTTTGAGGGGTCATTGGAACTGTTTTCCAACATATTTCCAGAGCATAATCTTGGTCATAGTTCAAATCACCTTTTTCCTTTCTATGTTTTGTTGACCTTTAATAGATAAATCAAAAGCAGTTATGTGCTTGGCCTGTTCTGTAGTAAATCCTAGACCTTATCAAATGCAGTTGTTGAACTAGAATAGCATAGGATGCTAAATACCTAATGCCACAAGCATTACAGAGAGGGGTTCCATCTTCAGCATCTCTCCACAATGGTGTCTTCCTAGTCTTGCAGGAAGCACAACGCTTATTTCCTTGAAAGCAAAGAGCAGTTAAGTCAAGTAATATGTCCTCGTAATTTAAATTTGCTGAAAGCAAGTCTTACAAATTTCTTCTAACTTGGACTAACTTTCAGTACTAGATCAATGGTGTTTGGTTTTGTTTGCTTTTTTTTTTTTGCCTGTTTGTTTGTTTTGGGGAGTATTTTTTGATGTTTTGAATTTTGGGGGAAATCCTGGTGACCTGAAATATGTCATATGTGCTCATCACTGAGGTTTTTATAAAAAAAATTCAGAATGAATGTCAATAGAATGTATATAATTTATAAAATTAAAATTGTCTTCCCACTTTATTTCAATAAGCCTGCAAATATTTTGGTGAAATGGTCTATTTTTTTCATCACAAGATGTTGAAATAAGGTCAATAACATCATAACTGTTAATCAAATCACTTAGTGAATATGTTGCTACGATAATTCTTAAACAGAGAATTTAGTTCTCAAAATTTAAACTACTGTAAGGTTTATACTGGATTATTAGACCCAATCTTTCCTTGAAAAATAAAATAAATCATATGCTTTTATCTTGGACACTTTAAACATAATTCATTAGTATTATAATTATTTACTGGCAAAAGAATTAACATACTGTGAGTAGAGACGAATCCTTCCTCTTCCGAACTGCCAGCTTTGCACTCTTCTCCTAATGGGACTCCACGTTTTTTCCTAAGTTTTCCACTGAGCACAGATTAGATATTTAGCATTTCAGGTATGCTTTGAAACAAAACAATTTCCTAAGTCCCACGTTTTAGCTTTAAACCCTGATCTCCATTGAAAATTAAATACAGGTAGTCCTTGACTTACGGCACTTTGTTTAGCAACCAAAGTTGTGATGTCATTGAAAAAAGTTACTTATTACTGTTGCAGCATTCCCACGGTCATGTGATCAAAAATGCCGGTGCTTGGCAACTGGCATGTATTTACAATACTTGCAGCATCCCCAGGGTCCCATGATTGCCATCTGCAACCTTCCCAGTTGGCTTCTAACAAGTAAATGGGTGAAACTGGATTTATTTAACAACCATGGTGATTCACTTAAAGACTGCAGCAACAAAAGGTCATAAAATCGGGCACAACTTACTTAATGACCACCTTCCTTAGCAACTGACGTTCTGGTCTTCATTGTAGTCATAAGTTGAGGACTACCTGTACAATCTTTACTGCTTCTCTCACATTACTTTACAGCATCTCTGATATATATGCCATGAGTCTCATTTTGGAGATTGACAAGAAAGGGGAAGGCATAAATTAGATACCCAAGAAAATTCTGTGGGAGTTCTTATTTTCTCTGAGGGCAGCAGGAATAATTTTAGAGGTACCCCTGATAACAAATACACAATTATACACTCTAATGGCAAAGGCCAAAGGATGGAACTGGAAAAAAAAAACAGTAGTAGCAATAGCACTTAAATTTCTGTACTGCTTCACAGTGCTTTTACAGCCCTCTCTAAGTGGTTTACAGAGTCAGCATATTGTCCCCAACCATCTGGCCCTCATTTTACTGGCCTCAGAAGGATAGAAGGCTGAGTCAACCTTGAACCTGGTGAGATTCGAACTGCCAAATTGCAGGCAGCCAGCAAAAGTAGTCTGCAGTACTGCACTCTGACCACTGCACCACCGTGGCTCTTGTGGAAGGCATAAATTAGGGTAGATACCCAAGAATATTCTGGACCAAGCAAGTTATTGTTTTCTCTGAGGGCAGCAGGAATCATTTTAGGGGCATTTCTGATAACAAATACACAGTTATACACTAATGGCATAGGCCAAAGGATAGAACTGAAAAAAAACATATTCACAAACTTTATAGGACAGTTTTACTAAAATATTTTTTACCAAATGTGAATGAAGAATGCAGCTTGTGAGTAATGCCTGAAAATATTAAGTTCAAGACAGCATAACTAATTAATTTTCAACAAAAGTTATAAGAAACTACCCAAAACACATACAAGTTGTATGTACATACAAAAAAGATCTTACATCTGTTAGAATATGTTTTCTATATTTACAGATCTATCCTATATCCTATATAACTATCCTCTATGCAAAAAAAATCTGTGGTTTAGAAGAACTGTTCCTGGATCAGTAAGAATCAAATTGAGCAGCTCAGCAATTTATCAGATTTCTATTTTGCCTACTACATATGTATGCCTCTGGGTGGTTTACAAATAAAAACACAGAAATATAAACTTAGTTAATAGTCATGCTGCTCATAAACAAAATATGGAAATCTCTAACAAATAGTTCATAGGTACTGCAGTTTACGAAAACAATTCTGCAGCCATACCTAAAGAAAGTCAGGGCTATAACAGGGTGGATAAAGAATAGATGACCAAGTAAAAAATACAATTCCTCATATCTTACATTCCTTAGGATTATTCTACTTCATCCAAATCACAGCATGTTACAAAACTGTGTTGCCCTTTTTACCATTTTAGTTTTCACATGTTTGACATGGCAAAGAAAAGAAAAATGATCAAGACAAGGGGAGAAAAGATTACATTAGGAATAAAGAGGGTATGAGGATTTCTCCTCAACAGAATTTACTCCCAAAATAAAATGTTCAAATGTATTTCCATATATATATTAGGAACTACAATTCCAACCAGATCAATGGCCAAGATTTATGAGTGTTCTAATCTATAATTTCTAAAAGGCTTGAGGTCCTTTATCACTTGAGATAAGAGTGATACTCAAGCCTTTGAGTGGCTGGGAAGTGATTAACTTGAATTTACAGCAGCAGTTTTGGGGTGGTTTTTCCATAGCAATACAGTACCTATTAAATTTATTTGCCACCCATCTCCTTATTAAGGCAAGTCTGATTATAAATCTCTCAAAGTGCTGTTTCGTATCTACCAACCAGTGCTTATCTAGTTGGAACTCCAGAAATAAATTTTAGATTTTCATTTTCTGAACAACTGACTCAACAAAAATAGAAAGGAACAGAAGGCAGACTGGCCAAGAGTTATAACTCTGTTGCAAAATTATCAACATGGTGCCTCACTATGTTAGGAACTGACATTGTCTCCTGTCATCTAGAAAGCAAGACTCTATGGCTCATTCTACTGTGGGCACCATAGTGGGAACATTTTAATTCGGAAAACATGTTATGGACTCTCATAAAATGACTGTGTGGGGGTTGGTAGAGACAAGAACAAATTATATCCATTAAATGCCTTCCCTGGAAACACTGCCCCTTCTGAACTGTTTTCCAGAATACTTCCATGCAATCTCTCCAGAATTCCCCCGTTCTTGCACAATTTTTGATACCGCTGCAGCTTATCTTGGTCCTTTTGTTAGGCAAGAGGTTGCAGCCAATTATCATTTTTATTTTCCAGAACAACATATGACATCCATACGTCATTTTTTAAAATAAAAAATGATGCCAGTATTCCATTTATACTTATATTTATAGGTCTACTCTTTGTAAGCAAAATGTGGCTTTTAGGAATTGGGGCACTACCCAAGAAAGGAAGTTTAAATCTTTGTGAAGTCTTTGACATTTTTTTTCCAATAGGAACTGTTATTTATGGGACACAATATGCATATTACATGGTAGACAAGTTAATTAAAAGGAAAAAATAATAGTATGAACAGTACAAAGTATTCCTGTTTGCATATCTGGGAATTAGGAGCTACAGGTTCACTGACATGTCCTACAGCAACTATACCTGCTGAATTGGGGGTTAATGATAAGGCGACAGCCCTCTGAACAGCTTTGACACAGACACAATTTCATGTGAAGCGTCACTCCTTGGAATTTTGGGTCCAGAGCATCATAGCTCCTTCTGGGTTTAGGTTGCTTGCGGAAGAGTCTCCTCCTGCCTCTCTGTGACTCAGAGACTTGGGTCAGTCTGGGCTCTTCCACACAAGCTCTCCACACCTGGTGACTCCTATGGCCTTTCGAGTGGGTAATGGGAGACCTCTCATGAGCAACCTTCCCAGCTTCTGGGGGCTTGACCTGATCTGGAGGTTCTGAGCCAAGGCTGGAGCAATGGAGGCTGATGAGATTCAGAGCATCAGTGGGAGCAAAAGGCACTAGGGGAGAGGAGAAACAATTGCACTGGGGTCCACGGGCATCGTGGAAACAGTTGCGTTGAGGTGCACGGATGCTGTGGATCGAATGCATAGCCCGGCCCAGCTGCCACAGAGGCTTCCCTGGGTTATTGCTGATTGGCTCTGCTTGGGACAGCAGCTGTGTACTCTCCTGCAGGAAGCTGAGGGCTTTGCTATCTGGCATCTGAAGGCAACAAGCCATGTTGCTGAAAGGCTCAAACCTGCAAGTAAGAAGAGTAAGTTTTTAAAAAAAGCATTGAGTGAACCAAGATGCAGATTGTCGTGTGTATTTATAAAAGGGTGGGGCACTTACTCCAAACTCTTCTTCCACATGAATCAATTAAGGACTGCCCCACATTAATACCAGCACTTTCACATCTATTTTATAATTTATAGACAGTTCTTCAAACATTTTATTAAAGTTCCCTTGAAAAAGTTATCTTAGGATAGTTTTTTAAAGGATTCTGTCCCAAATATTCTGTAATAAGTCTCTATCACCACTGTGTGCTGGTATAAATTTTATATGAGAAGGCTCTCCTAATATCCATTCAAATTTATTTTAAAATAATGTATCTACTTTCTTAAAGTTTTCTTCTTTAAAAAAATTCCTAAACAATGAATACATGTGGGAAAAAAATGTTATTTGAAAAATTATCTGTAATTACCATGAGCATTATCTATTTAATTATTCTTTAGCCAGCATACTTAACCAAAGACCCTGTAAATCTATTGCAGGACTTAAACAATGCATTCAAACAATTGATCAACAGTTTAATGTCAATGAATTGAGTAGAAATATAGGTTCTCTAAAATTTTATGATCTATATGACTTATTTTCAAACATACTGCTCAAATGGATTTCAAAAGAAAAGACATTTAGTAATAATTAAATCTCAAGCATCTATAAAGCATGTCAGTGATCATGGCTTGTTAATAAGTTTGTTTGGCAATAAATTTCACAGACTGATTATAGTCCAAATGTTTGTGCCCTAAATCTTCAGAATACCACAGAATTGTTGTCTGCACAATGAATTATTACAGAGATGATCCCGCTGGAAACAGCCCAAATAAACGAAGCTTTTTCCAAGTATCCTTCCATAATATACTTTGTATATTCTCCCACACCTGATGATCCCATGAGCATTTTAAACCTAATTAGTCGGTAGGTGGCGCACCTCCTGGCTCTTTTTTGCCCTGCGAAACCCATCACTAGTAGCCTTGAAAATCGACGTACGGGGTCTGGAATCGCCCTGCCTCAAGTATCCCATCCTTTGAACAAGATTTCCTATTTTCCCTCGATTCTCCAATCTTAAAACAGGACTTCTTCAGGACCACTGTCCTGAAGCACGTCTGCCATCTCGAGAGAGGCACCAATCCTTGTCACGATTCCTTTTCCCCCTCCACACGAAACTGAGGAGAGTCCCCACTTTCTCCAACAGTCTCGTCCAGCAATTCCTCCTCCTGCTGTGGGGAGGCTGCCCTTTCCCATATCCAGGCCAGTTACTCCGAGGCGGCTGAACAGGAGGCACCCTCCTCCTGGGCTTGGCCTCCCCTCCCCCTCAAAGGAAACCCACCTAAAGTTTCCCGCCCCTTCAGCTGCCCACATCTGCCAGGCCCCCCGCGCGGGGTTCCCGCTTGCAAGTACTTGACCAATAGTAATCAACCCTGCTCGGGCTCGCGCCGCTTGCGGGGCTCGCCACCCAAAGGCTAACGTGGCTGGGGCATGTGCGGGGAAGACGCAGTCCGCTTCTACACAGCACTGCGACCGTTTCGCTCTGCACACCGAGCCTAGACCACCGTCTTACTCGGCAATAAATCCCAACAATATTACGCATAGAAGTGAAGCAAATAGCCGACAGCCTTTGCGCCTTAAGCAAGTCTCACTGCGTGTTGGTGAGGGTTACTCCTAAATGTATATTCCATGGGATTCAGTCCTGGTTTGATTCTGAGGTCCAAAAAGTTCGTTCGGATCCCACAATTGAGTGAGAGCAATCAGCCAGGAGGAGTTTTTCCGGATCTTCTTCGGATGCGAACTGATCCGGAGCCCCTTCTTCTCAGGATGTCAGTCAGAACGACTCACCTGAATTCTCTAACCGCGGTTGTTTCTGACCCGAAGTCCCCTGAAATTGAGACCGGATTGTAACTAGACTCTGACTCCAGGCAAGGAGGGCAGAGCAGTTCCTGCAGGACAGAAAAGTCCGGGGGTTGCCCTTCCAAGAAAAGCTCCCCCTCCATGATCAACAGTCCGGAGGAAGAACCTGACGCCGAACCACCTCTTTCAAAGGCTCAGGAGTCAACCTTTCAACGAAGGTCCTAAATTGGCCACAGCTGGGAGCACAGGGACGGCACCTATATAAAGGGGGAAATCGACTAGTTTTAGGAGATATGGGTCAGAAGAGGAAAAGGTCGAGATTGGAGCGTAACTCAAACGTTCACCGGGTCAAGTCTGTTCCCCCAAATGTAGACTGGACCCAAAATAGGATTTGTTATGGTAACTAAGTGAGAACATCTTTAGTAGAGTAACATTGGGTGCCTTTACTAGAGTCTGCCATGACTGTTTGTTTTTTTTAACAGAGGAGGAAGTTTAATTTGGGAAGCTAGTTACGGTAAGAGGTTTCATCTGGAGTTAAATGGAACTTCCCTGTTCAGAGATTGTGTATCTTTGAAAAATAGGAGAGACATCCCTGCTTGCTTTGCTTGTATGGTTCAACAAAATGGGTTGGAACCAGTGACTTGAACCCAACTGTTTCTGTGTGGCATTGTACATTCAGCCACCTAAAAATTATGAACAAGATCTCTTTGCTTGAAATACATCTCATTAAAAATTATTCCTGTAAACTGACCATCACCATAAGTGAATTGGATAGCTATATAAATTTCCTACATAAATGGGTACATTAAGCTTACTGGAGAAGCAGCTGTGTATTTTGTGTGGTGTTTTTTTTAATGTGAAATTTTAGCAGTATATAGCAGGACTACAAAAAAAAAAAAGTTTGGACAATCCCCAAAGCTCATTTCAGGTGGGATTATTTGAGAGCAAAACTTTAGTTAGTCTAATTATAATTAACTGATAATTAACTAAAGTAACATCCTTTCTGAGTCTAAGGATTGTGTGTCAATTTTGAAAATTCCCAGAGATTGGGGGTATAAATTTAGTGGTTAATGCACCAGGCTAGAGACCAGGGGATTCAAGTCCTACGGTTAGTCATGACAGCCAGCTGGGTCACACACATTCAGCCCAATCCACCTCACAGGGTTATTGTGGAAAAATAGGAAGGTGCACTGGATATATCCACTGCTTTGAATTATTTGTAAAAATAAAGGTGGGGTACAAAATTTAAAAAATAAATACCCTGCCCAAAATTATTTTTAAAGGGGTGGGTAGGAAAGAAAAGGTATATTTGGTCTCAGATCTTACTTGGCAGTGAATCTCTTTGAATTACTGGATTCTCTTACAAGTGCCAATGGAGATGGATGATGCAATTGACTTCCCTTGAATCCAAGTTTCTTTTGAAAAATACTTTTAGCATTGGTTCTCTCAATCTTGATCAAAATATGACTTAGATAAATTATAGCTGAACTATTAAATCTACTTAACATCAAGCACTTTCCTTATTCATTATATTTAATGCCAATTAACTAGGCATTATGTATATAATGTTTGATTACTTTTTGGATTTATAGATTCAGCTTCATTTCTGATTAATCCACTGTATTGTTCAGCATCTGAAATAGCTGGAATTGTGTCCTTTTTAGTAAGAAAGTAAACTCACACGTATAGGTACATCTGTCAGTTTCTCTGTCAAAAATTGAAAAGTTTCTCAAATGTAGAGCTGATCTTGCTCTTTTGGTATAGGGCCAGCAACCTGTTTCAGGTGGCATAAGGAAGAGAAGTGGGAGTGATGGCAAGAACTGGTATCTGCATTCTTAAGCACAGTTCTGAAAGAGATAATAGTTGAAGTTATAAGAAATAACCACACAGATGTATTTGTAAATTACATAGGTGTGAATACATTCCACTCCTCGAGTTTTTGTGGATACACCACACTTTACAGGCAAACTTAAGATTGTGAAGCCTTTTGAATTTTCAATATTTCTATATACTGTCGGGCTCCGAGTTCACCCAGAGCACATCAGCTCCGAATATGCCTCACAGCAAGTCAAGCTGACCATCACACCTTATCTCTGCTGCTGCCAGATCTGTATTTCTGCTTGTGTGCTAGCCGATGGTTTTGGAATGACTCAATAGAGCAGAGGGTGGATTCTGCAATAACTGCAGGGTTGCAGGATGGATTCTGCAACAACTGTGGTGCTGCTGGAACTGGCTCTTTATTGATGTGGTGCATATTGTTAAAGTGGGTTGGGGCACATATAGGTGGTAATTAGGACTTAGGTTAAAACATAGTGAAGGTGGCACCAGGTAGGGATCAGTTAGTGAGGGTCAGAATAGGGTAGGGATATAGACATGTTATAGGGTTAATAGCATTTAGGGATAATGGGTTAGGCATGACCAGAATTAGAACTGCGTATAGGCCTGGGTGTGGTGGGGTGTGTCTCATGATAATGGTGACAAAAGGAAAGGGAGCAAACACAAACCCAACTCTAACCTTGCCTGGCTTTTAGCCATTCTTGCTTGATAGAGTATTTGTTGTTTGATGCTATATTGAATAAACCATCATTGTCCTAAAGAGTAGCTGGAGTTTGGATTCATTTAAAGACAAATCTTCAATACTCAAGGACTGGCTGAGAGATATAGTAAATATGACCCAAGACATTATCTGTTCTTTATCAAGTTGTAAAATTAGATACAGGTAGTCCATAATTTACAACCATTTATTTAAGTGACTTTGAAATTACAGCTCCACTAAAATGACTTATGACTGGTCCCTGCACTAACAACTCTCACAGCATCCCCATAGTCACATGATCAAAATCCAGGCACTTGGCAACTGGCATATATTTAATCAATCAGAATAGAGCTGGAAGAGATCTTCGAAGTCTTCTAGTCCAACACCCCCTTTCCAAACAGGAGACCCTGTACCAGGGTTGTCAAACTCCTGGCCTGAGGGTTGGATGTGTCACGCACTAGCCATACCCACACCCAGTTTAGCAAAGGGAAAAAAAAATCCCAATATGTCCTGTGATGACATGAGCTTGACACCCCTTCCCTATACCATTTCAGACGAGTGATTGTTCAGTCTTAAAAGCCTCTAGTAATGAAGCACCCACAACTTCTGATAGCAAACCAATCTATGATGGCTGCAGTGCCTCAAGGTCATGTGATCACCCTTTGTGATCTTTCCAGCTGGCTGACAATTAATCAAGGTGAGACGGAAAGCTGGGTTTGCTTAAGTCATGTGATTTGCTTAAAAATTGTGGCAGAAGTCATAAAATTAGATGTAATTAACTATCTTGCTTTTCAACTCAAATTCTGATCGCAATTGTAGCTGCAAATTGAAAAACACTTGTAAAGAGAATCCAGTTAAATGAACCAAAAACATTATACTTGTTCTTTGATTTATTGAGGAAAATAATTAAAAGCTACGTATTTGTGTGTGCATTATCAATTCATTTGAAATGGAAATTAGAGCCAGGTGTCTCAATTAAAGGGATAATTGGGTGTGACTGTGAGAAGTCCTGCCTTATTTAAAGAAGAGAATTGTGGGTCTTCACTAGCAAAGTTACTACACAGATTTGTGGAAGTATGTTATGGCTCAAATAAAAATTTCTGAAGATATCTGAAAAGAGATCTCACCACAAAGAGATGCTGTCCATTTTGGAAAAGGTTACAAAACAATTTCCAAACATCTACTGCTTCACTGTCAGGCAGATTGGTTACAGATGGAGGCAATTCAGTGCTGCTGTTAACCTCCCTGGGAGCGGTTAACCAATCAAGATCACACCAAAAGCAAGATGTGTAATATTCTGGGAGGTCTCCAAGAATTCAGGAACTCAAAGAATCCTAGGAACTAAAGGCCGCTCTTGCATTGGCAAATATCACTTATTCATGAAAACATCATTAGGAGAACTCTGAACAATGGTGTATACAGCAGAGTTGCAAGGAAAAGGTTTGCTGCCTATTCACAGTTTGGGAAAGGCCATGCACATAAGTCAGAAATCTATTGAGGTATGCTCTCTAGATAGATGAGACCAAAATATAAATTAAAATCATTTTTGGCAAAGGATAAACATTGTGTTCCAGCCTAAGAACTTTGTCCCACTTGTGAAACCAATACCATGATTTGGGT